GAGGCCCCGCCGGCGACACCCGGACGGTGAGTGCTGCCCGGCGCCGCGCCATTCCGGCCGCGCTGTCTGCGGCGCTGCGCCTCCCCCGGGACCCGGCCGTCCCGGACGTGGACTCCGATCCCTGTTTACCGAAAAGACCTTTCACACGGAACGCGGTCTTCGCCCTGTGAGCGGACGGCCTTGACCCTTCGCCTGCTTCCCAAAAGCCCCCGAGACCGCCGACGTCCACGCTGGTAGAAACGGCCCCGAACCTCTTGCACGGAGACAAAAGGGAGCTTCCGGCGCCGGGAACTCTCTCTAGATATCTTGGCCTAGAAAAGAAAGCTGCCAGCTTTTGAGGGCAAAGCCGAGAGCCTTGCTTGGCTGCCTGCGGTCGGGGCCAGGGGATTGTTGGTGTAGAGAGGATCCTGTGTTTTCTGCTCTGTGACCTTGGGTGAGCCCCTCAGCCACCTGGGCACCGGTGTCTTAGATGTCACACAGGGCCAACGTGGCACGAAGTCAGGGGTATACAGGAGGCACTGTATGAATGCTGGTCTTCTTTCTTCTCTGGGCCTCTCAGCCTCGGAATATCAGGAAGACCGGGGGTGGGTACAGCCTGTCATGATCACAGATTCGCTGGCTGTGCAGAGATATAGTTGCCCCTTCCTTACCTGTCCCCCAGGAGCTGGACAGGATGGAATGTGCCTGAATTTATTTCTCCCATGGGAACAGGCAGCCCCCTCCTGTGTCCCCATTTATCTTAGAATAATGCTGACTTCTTGTCACATTGTTCTTTATTAGCAAAGACTGCTAAATAGGTAACGAAATTGATTCTTTTTACAGACTCAGCAGGAAAAAATTTCCTCCTTAAACCCTCAGCCCCACTATGTGACATGTTCCCACAAGGTTGACTTAGTTCTTCCTCCTTGTGCCCTCCCAATCCTCCAAGGTCCTCCTGAAACCTGGCTCTGGGCTGTCAGTGAGTTGTGTGGCATTTCAGCACTGGTAAAAACTTTAATGCTGTGGTGTGCTTGCCCATGCTGAGTTTGACCATCAGGTTCAGGGAAGTTCACACACTTGCTCGAGTTTGTGTTCAAGATAGGGCAAAGGCCCCAGCCAAGGTTTCCTGCCTTGGACTTTCTTTCCCCCATGTCCAAGCAGAATAACAGTGCTGGCCTCTCGGGGCTGTATGGGGACCAAGCAAGCAAAGAGACACAAAAGCCCAGAGAACAGTGTGTGTCTAGAATGTACTGTATACATGCTCATCATCACTGTGCCACATCCTCCACTTCGTAATAATGTTCAAAAGTGTGATCCTTGCTGGGGATACTGCTCAGTTGGTAGAGTGTTTGCCTCACATGCACAAGGCCCTCAGTTTGATCCCCAGCGCCACCAAAAAAAAAAAAAATTGTGATCCTTGAGAGGTTTGGGCCTTGTTCAGTATGCTCCCAAGAAGAGCCTAGATTTGAAGATGGATTGTCAGCTGTTAGCTGTGTGACCACATCTCAGTATTCTTATCTGCAAGATGTGACATTCACCTGATCAAGTATTGAAGGAGTTCAATATAAGGTAGCACATGGAAGTCCTGTGGCTTGTTTCCAGGGCCATAGTCTAGGCTCTGAAATGATAACTATTATCATTATAATCCTGATCTAAAAGCCCCTAGTTGAGACTGAAGTCTCAGGTGGGAGCTGGGAATGTACATAACTCAGTGGTTGAGTGCTTGTGTAAGTATGCATGAGGCCCTGAGTTCAATCCCCAGCACTGCAAAACAAAAAGAAGTGGGTATTAGCAGGAAGTGGGCTAATTGACATGTCAGATTTTAGATGCCAAAAGAACCCTGGTTAAATATTCTAAAGGCTGGGCTGGGGCTGTAACTCAGTGGTAAAGTGCTTGCCTAGCACATGTGAGGTCCTGGGTTCAATCCCCAACAACACATAAAAATAAATAAATAGAATAAAGGTATTGTGAAAAAAAATTCTTAAAAGAAAAAAAAAACTGTTCTAAACAATGCTGACAACCTGATTCTTTGGTCAGAGAGTCCTGTGTATTGCTCTGTTCTCTCCCACGTTCCTCCTTGGGACAGTTCTGCACTTGTTGTCCTTGGTATCTACAGCAGATCCTGCGATTAATGAATGACCTGGAGGAGCTCCTGGGAGGGCTTCAGGACCAGACTTCTAGAGTTCATGTGCATACTCAGAAATCCTGTTCTTGTTATAGGGCTGCGATCTCTCACAATGGAGGGAAGCCGGCAGACGCGAGTGTCTCGGCCCTACAAGATCAGCGAATCTTCAAAGGTCTGTGCCTGCAGATTGCCTAAGACGTGTGGTGTGCTGACTTGACTCTCACTTGTTGTTGGTTTCAGCCATAAAAAGGTAGATAAGGCAAGGGCAGAGAGCACCGGAGCGCCAGACTGCTGAGGGTGCGAGGGCACGGTGTGCACACTGTGGCGTTGTCATCCTTCGCCAGGGTGGTGTCCTGGGGCATCCCTCCTGTGTCACACCCGGCTCGCTTATTTGAGTACTAATGCTAGGATGCAGATAGAATAGGATGGGAACTGTGGGGTCTCTGTCCCATTGTGGGGCTCAGCACCACCAGAGACAGGCACATGAAGAACCTGCCTGCTGGCTCTAGGGTGGGGCCTCACTGGGATCCTTATGTGGAGGTTCCAGGGCCTCTTTCCTGCCCTGGACTCTCAGGGACCTCAAGAGTGAGCTAGGGTGTGTTCCACAGGGCTAGGCTCACAGCCCCCTCAGGCTGGCTCCATCAGAATCAGCCTGAGGGAGAGTGGGGAGAGTCTGTAAAAGTGCCCTGCCTGGCCCCACCTGGGACCTGCTCAGTTAAGGTCTGAGGGCAGGACCTGGGGGCTGTGCTCACGGTCCAGTCCGTGAATAGAGCAGTCCCTGCCCCACAGCTGCTGTAGGTAAAGATGGAGGGTGCTCATTTGCAGCACAGTCCCCATTTGCACTTGTCTCCAGCTACAAACACTAATAATGCCCTCTTCTCTTTTGAAATTTCCCTTTTGGAGATTAAATTTTGTGGTTGCTTTAGCTTATGCATTGTGAGGGTGAAAACTGGTTCTTGGGGTGCAGAAAACTTACTTTTTGTATACAGAGCAAACCATGAGACCTCACTTGGGCAATAGACAGGGTGCGGGTGGTGGTGGAGCTCCTGGGGAGGGCTTTAGGACCAAACTTCTTAAAAGGCTTCTTAGTGGGGAAAAATGGAGAGATTCTGCATTGCCCAAGAGGTGGCGAGCAGCTCAAGGTTGAGGTGGTTCTGTAGAGGCACTGGAGGGAAGGTGCTGTGCAGAAGGGGTTGCTTCCCTGAGAGACGGTCTCCTGTGGCCACCTGAGTTTACTGAGAAAGCTCCTGTATGCCTGCTTTCTGTCCATGAGCACAGAGGGCCCGCTGCGCTCAAAGGGGCTTTGTTCCTGACCTTGGCTGCAGACACAGTGTTGCTTTCTAAGTTTGATAGCACTGGAAATGTGTGTCTTTTAAAGTCAGATTCAGAGTCTCTGAATGGAAGCTTTCAGGAACAGGACAGGAACCGCTTTTCTTTAGTTGATTGTATTTCTAAATTTTCTTATAAAAAATGAAAGTGGCCAAATCATACCTTGCATTTATGAACATTAATTTAATTCACGTAGCCAGCCCTGAGATGGGCAGATAGCCTGTGTCCAAACCCTTCCTGCCATGGTGCTCAGCTCAGCTGCTTCCCAAGTTCTCAGCTTGTGGTTTCTCCTGCTCTGAACTTGACTGGAGTCCCAGTGGGCCACTCTCGTGTGTCTGGGGCATCCACTCAGCCTCAAACCTGCGAGCCTGGCAGCCAATAGCTGGTGCAGGTCATTCATGCTTGGCATGGACTCTGCCTATGTGTGACTCCACTATTCACTTAGCCACCCTGTGAGGGGACAGTGTACAGTGAAGCAGACCTTCACCCTCACACCTGCTGCATCCTCTAGATCATTGGCCCAACCACCTGGTCTCTTCCATCATCTGACCTCGCGTGCAGTGATGCACCAAGAGGGGTAAAGACCAGTACAGCAAGGAGAGTTAGAACTTCTAAATTACCGAAATGCCAGAATTCTGCTCTTTGAAACTAGGGACGTGTGTGTGTGTGTGTGTGTGTGTGTGTGTAAAGTCATCTGTGCAGCTGAAATGCTAGGCACAGGCTAACCCATGCACCTCTCCCCTGCACCACCACTCCGCTGCGGCAGATGGTCCCCTTGCAGCTGTGCCTGCCCCCCAGGCTGTATCCCTGTCGCACCACAGCTGGCTTGTGTGTGCCCATCTGAGTGCTAGGTCCCACCCCCTCACCACTTGAGAGCTGTGGGCTGGGCGCCCCCTGCGCCCCTTACTTGCTTCTCTTGGATGCCAAGGCTTTGCCTCACTCAGCCCTACCTGCTATTGTAGTGCTTCCTAATTTCCTTCCTGCCATCTATAAGGGCCCCAGGCCAGTGTCTGTGGGAGCCCAGACATTCCTGCTTAATTAGAAGCCAAAACTAGGCCAGCTTGCCTCTCTCTGTAAGCAGCCAGATAAACAGCCACCCCTGAGCCCTCCGTGGAGGAGCAGAGAGCCTGGCCCTCTGGGCTGCGGGGAGGGAGCCTCAGGTCGTGTCTCTGCGCACCCTCAGCAGGTTGTGAGGACACTCTCTGCTCTGGGATGTCAACAGGGTGATTGATGCTGCACTTGGCCAGACGCAGAATGACCACAGGAAACCATGGCTTCTAATTACAGCAGCAGTAAGAGCAGACTTGAAAGGGAAGAAAAGGAAACGCACCATTGCTGGACACGTTGAGATGGGCCTCGCGTGTGTCAAGCACGCAGCACCAGCACCTTGCAGACCCGCAGTCTGGTGCCCTCCTCTGTACAGCTGCGTGCTCCCCTTCTCAGGATCACTACTAGCCAGTTCTTTCCTTAGTCCCCCTTGAGTAGATCAGCTACTGTATGATATTTTTTTTGATGGCCTGTTTCTCCCTACATTGAATTTTTCTTGCCCTTTGTGTGTGTGTGGTGAGTAAATAAAGCAGTGTGTGTACAGTATCCCTAAAATAAGGTGGGTCAGTCCTGCAAGGTCTCAGAATCTGGTCTAGATTTGACGGATGGTTGTGTCCTCAAGAGCCTGTGGCGGGTGCTTGGCATTCTCATGTCTGCCAGCTTGAATTGATCAAACCGATCGATTGGGATCATTCATGTTAAATGGATTACTTCCAGGATAGTGTGGTAATTAAAGCTGATGAAGTCAGGTCCAGGTTCAAGTCTCAGTGCCACTGCTCAGTCCCTGTGGGATCTGGGCAGGTTTTGTGGTATCCACCTCCCTCACCTGGAAAAGGGGGGTTGTAGGGTGGTTTGTGATGCTCAGAGGAGAGGACGTCTGGTGCATAACACAGCAGAGCACATCCTGAGCCCCAGGGAAAGACGGATCCGCGCCTGCATGCTAGTAGTCCTTTAACCTGGAGTGGGGTGTGGACTACACTTCCCAGGAGGACCCCAGAGCACCTAGTGGTGGGCAGGAGGCCAGCCACTTCCCTGGGTGGAAGCGTGAAAGTGGGAGCCACGCTCTGGCATGACCGTGTGCCAGACACCGTGTGTGAAGTGGGAAGCTGTCGGTCAGCAGATTACCATAACCTCGGTAGGAGTTGACAGCCTCATGGTGGGCACTGCTCAGGCATTGCTGGGTCAGCACTTTGCCCTCTTCTATCTCCCTTCCTCCCCAAACCTGGGTGATAACACCCTGGTCCTCATTGCCAGACCAGAAGGTGGAGCCTCAAGTTCCCCGGCTTAACCCAAGAACCCAGTGAGCAGCAGAGCTAGGCTCAAACCAGTTCCCAGCTGACTTCAGGGCTTTGTGCACAGCTGCCCTCTAATATGGCAGCACCTTCCCGTCCTTTGTCATGACCTGGAAGCAGGGAAGGGAGAGAGAGAAGGAAGGGAACAGAAAGGAGCTTCTAGCACTCTATTTAAAAAGAAGGAAGAATGCCGGGCACAGTGGCACACGCCTGTAATCCCAGTGGCTCGGGAGGCTGAGCCAGGAGGATGGCGAGTTGAAAGCCGGCCTCGGCAACTACTTGGCACTGAGCACCTCAGTGAGACCCTGTCTCTAAATAAAATACAAAATAGGGCTGGGGAGGTGGCTCAGTGGTTGAGGGCCCCTGGGCTCAATTTTCAGTACAAAGAAAAAAGAAGAAAATGGGGGAGAGAAAGCCAGAAAGTTTTTAGAAATTATAAAAAATAGGAGAAAGGATGGACAGATACACAGAGGCCCTCTGTGGTCCCTCATTCCTCTCCCTCTGGGGCAGGTCGCAACTGCTGGGTGGGTTGAGCCACCCCCTGACCGGCCCTCCTCCACAGGTGTACCGCTGGGCCGACCACTCCTCCACGGTGCTGCAGCGGCTGAACGAGCAGCGGCTCCGCGGCCTCTTCTGTGACGTGGTCCTGGTGGCGGATGAGCAGCGCGTGCCAGCCCACCGTAACCTGCTGGCCGTGTGCAGCGACTACTTCAACTCCATGTTCACGCTGGGCATGCGGGAGGCCTTCCAGAAGGAGGTGGAGCTGATTGGCGCCTCCTACATTGGGCTCAAGGCCGTGGTGGACTTCCTGTACAGCGGGGAGCTGGCGCTGGACGGCGGCAACATCGACTACATCCTGGAGACGGCACACCTGCTGCAGATCTGGACAGTGGTGGACTTCTGCTGCGAGTACCTGGAGCAGGAGGTGAGCGAGGACAACTACCTGTACCTGCAGGAGCTGGCCTCCATCTACAGCCTCAAGCGGCTGGACGCCTTCATCGATGGCTTCATCCTGAGCCACTTCGGCACACTGTCCTTCACGCCCGACTTCCTGCAGAACGTCTCCATGCAGAAGCTGTGTGTGTACCTGAGCAGCAGCCAGGTGCAGCGGGAGTGCGAGCACGACCTGCTGCAGGCGGCCCTGCAGTGGCTGACGCAGCAGCCCGAGCGCGAGGCACACGCCTACCGGGTGCTGGAGAACATCCACTTCCCGCTCATCCCCAAGAACGACCTGCTGCACCGCGTCAAGCCGGCCGTGTGCTCGCTGCTGCCCCGCGAGGCCGACTGCGAGGGCTTCATCGAGGAGGCCGTGCACTACCACAACAGCCTGGCCGCCCAGCCCGTCCTGCAGACCAAGCGCACAGCCCTGCGCACGGACGAGGAGCGCCTCCTGTTTGTGGGCGGTGAGGTCTCTGAGCGGTGTCTGGAGCTCAGCGATGACACCTGCTACCTGGACGCCAAGAGCGAGCAGTGGGTCAAGGAAACGCCCCTGCCGGCCCGGCGGAGCCACCACTGCGTCGCCGTGCTGGGGGGCTTCATCTTCATCGCGGGCGGCAGCTTCTCGAGAGACAACGGAGGGGACGCAGCCTCCAACCTCCTTTATAGGTATGACCCCCGCTGTAAACAGTGGATCAAGGTGAGATTAAAGCCAGATTATTTCTTTTCTCTTGAGGCCTCTTTTCTTTGCCCTAACCTAGTCTTGACTTCCTTTCTCTCCGGGCCTTGGCCACAGTCCTGCTCCTGAACGAGGTGTGACAATAAAGAGATGAGCTATGGCTCCCACCCTCCCCACCCGTGCCCCCTGGGGAGAACGAGGGCTGTCCGGGGACTCTCTGCCCCGTGCCACATCCCATGTCAAGCTGCATGAGGCCCCAGCCCCATGCAGCAGTTGAGTGCCTGGGTTGTGACCAGGGCAAGCGAAGAACCAAATTTTCAATTTTACTTAGTTTTAACCAATTTACGTTTAAGTGTAAATGGCCACATGAGGCACCTCACTACCAGCTGCTGCTTCCGACACGCTCCCTGAGTCTCAGCCTCCACCAGGCTCCTCTTTCGGAAACATTTGGGAGCAGCTTTAAGGAGTCCACAAAGCCCATACCTGGCCCTTTGGCAGGTATCAAGGCAGGATCAGGGAGGAGTGTGAACCCAGGTGCACACCTGAGATTGCGCTCCCACCTGGCCACAGTGTGGCTGGGATTCCAGGCCCGTTCCTCCCCCTCTCCCAATCCCACATTTCCCCTCTGGAAGTGCATGTGGCCTTCCAGGCAAGGGGGTGTGGCCTGCATTGATTGGCATGCATCTGGCTCAGGTGGTCCGGGATGTGCCTTCTCTTGACCATTGCCCATTAAAATCTTTGTCCATCTTTATACTCACACCTCTGTATTACTTCTTAACTCTGTGTCTTTCTGAGCTTTAACACTCAGAATGGATTCAAGATATCCTTTTGATTTTATTCTCAAAAGTCTTAAAACCAAGCCAGGTGTGGCAGAGCGTGCCTATAGTCCCAGCCATGAGGGAGGCTGAGGCAGGGGGATGGCAAGTTTGAGGCTGCCCAGGCAACTTGGATTCTATCTAAAAGTAAACATTTTTTAAAAGACATAGTTCAGTAGAACATTTGTTTAGCATGTGCTAAGCCGTGGGTTCAGTCTCCAGTATCCGGGAAAAAAAAAATCTGGGCTGGGAATATAGCTCAGTTGGTAGAGTGCTTGCCTCCCATGCTCAATGCCCTGGGCTCAGTTCCCAGCACCACACACACAAAAATCTGAAACCCAGGGCGAAGCCATACCACTGGAGGGAGGCTGCAGCTTTGGAAGCAGCTCAGAGACTGTAACAGCAGCGGGAGTGTCTCGTCTGCAGGACCACATTCAGTCCCGTGTTCTGCGAAATTGCTTAAAAAAAAAAAAAAAAAACAGGAAAGGTCAGGTCTTCCACTTTTCGATGTCCTGTCAAGTGCTACTTTCTTCCTTTAACATGGACGGCAAGCAGCATTAGTGTTTTAAAGACTCCTGATGGAGAGTGCCGGGGGCAGGCGATTTCTCGTGTCAGAAACCCGCTCACCAGACTACCTGCTCTGCTCCTCTGAGTCCCGGTCCACGAGGTCGACCACGTGGCCAGACAGGTTTGGGAAACCGAGGGTCCCCTTCCTGAGGTTCTCAGTGTCTTGAGATCCAGGGGCTCTGAAAGTCTCACCAAAAGACCTCTTCTTGCCCCCCGGCTCACTGGCCACATCACACCTCCTGGGCTGAGCACTCCGTAGACATAGTTGGAGAGCACAGTGCTAGATAATGACACTGACCGGCGTTGAGGCAAGGGAAGGTACAGGTGTGTCGCTTCCACAGGTGGCCTCCATGAACCAGCGGCGCGTGGACTTCTACCTTGCCTCCATCGGGGACATGCTGTTGGCTGTTGGTGGCCGGAATGAGAATGGAGCTCTCTCTTCGGTGGAGACCTACAGCCCCAAGACTGACTCTTGGTCCTACGTGGCCGGCTTGCCAAGGTGACTGGGTCCTGAGGCCTCCTCTTCCAGTGTGACTTCAGGGAGAACAACGTTTAGTCTGCTCACTTTGGGGGTATTCTGGCCTCCAATTCTGGGGGAAATCTGGCTTATGGGGAGCAGTGGGTAGCCACAAGGGGTCCAGGGTGCGGGAATCTGGCTCTAGTTCTGGATTGTCAGTGAGCATCCTCTGCGCTGCCTAGATAAGCGTCACCCTTTCCAGGTCCATGTGGTGCCTGACCCCGGGAGTCTTGAGTCACCGACGGGGGATTTACTGGGAGACCCCACTGAGCTCTGAGGGTGGGGCCTTTGCCCACTCTGTCTTCTCTTCCTCACTGCAGCAGAGGGGGCCGGCGGTGAACCCTGCCCAATGGGGTGGGGGGCGGAGATTCTGCTGGTGATCCTTCAGGCGCACCCAGTGGGCAGGAGCTGTCCAGGTGAGCAGCCCAGGCACCTCGGGGACCTTGTCCCGAGGGTTAGCAAGGGTGTGGGCAAGTGTAGCTGGCGCCGGGAGTCATGCCAGGCGCGAGTCCCAACCCTTCCACTCGTAGACGGCCTCTTGCACCTGGAGGATCCTGAGGCCAGCACAGTAATGGCGGGCACTGCTGACCGATAGTAAGTGGCTGGCCCCTGCAGCTGTCACAGTGGCCAGGACTGCTCTTCCTAACTCAGGGCCAGGTGCTGCATGTGACTTGTCACCTTCTCTGGGTGACAGGACAGGACAGGCCAGCCTACCCTGGGCCATCCCCAAGCTGAGGTACTTCACCAACCCATTTCCAGGTGGAGAAGTGGAGCCTAGAATGTGTTCAGTCTGTTGTCCCCACAGTCCCGGCCAGCCAGCACCGGCTGTGCACTGGACACTGCGAGGACCATTATTCCTAAGCACTGCAGCCCAGGGCTGAGCAGTCCATGATGCGGCAGTGCCAGTGTGTCCCCGGCTGGCCCCACCGACTCATCTCTCGTGTGTCCTTGTTGGTAGGATGGGGCCTCTTGAGCCCCAGCCCACCTCAGCGTAGGACCCTGCTGGCCACTCTGCCACCCTGGGCCCATGCTGTGAGCTCCGCCGGGCACTCTCTGCCTGTCAGGCTCCTGCCATCACCCTATCTGGAGTCTCACCGTCCTGTCCTCTGGCTGTTTATTTTGGTGGCCGCACTGGGGCTTCATTGTTTTGTGGTCTGGTTTGTTGGGTCCTTTTCTCAGTAAAGCAGCACCTAGGAGGGTGTGCTGGTGCCTGTTCCCTGTGCGTCCTTCCACCCTACGACTCCTGATGGGCAGAGGCCCGGGGGCGCCCGCAGCTGAGGCCATTGTGCAGCAAGCTGGCGCAGCACTGAGCACCGTCTCTGCTCCGTCTTGCAGGTTCACCTACGGCCACGCAGGCACCATCTACAAGGACTTTGTGTACATCTCAGGGGGCCACGACTACCAGATCGGCCCCTACCGCAAGAACCTGCTGTGCTACGACCGCCGCACGGATGTATGGGAGGAGCGGCGGCCCATGACCACGGCGCGCGGCTGGCACAGCATGTGCAGCCTGGGCGACAGCATCTACTCCATCGGGGGCAGCGACGACAACGTCGAGTCCATGGAGCGCTTTGATGTGCTGGGCGTGGAGGCCTACAGCCCGCAGTGCAACCAGTGGACCCGCGTGGCGCCCCTGCTGCACGCCAACAGCGAGTCGGGGGTGGCTGTGTGGGAGGGCCGCATCTACATCCTGGGCGGCTACAGCTGGGAGAACACGGCCTTCTCCAAGACCGTGCAGGTCTACGACCGCGACGCCAACCAGTGGAGCCGCGGCCCCGACCTGCCCAAGGCCATCGCCGGCGTGTCGGCCTGCGTCTGCGCCCTGAAGCCGCAGCTGGAGGACAGGAAGAAGAAGGGCAAGGGCAAGCGGCAGTAGGGCAGCGCCAGCGCTGCCGCTCGCTCCTGGCCCTGTGGCCGGAGCAGTAGGCAGTGGCCACCCCTTAGCCCTCTGGAAACGTTACGTGCTCTTGGCAGCTTTTTTACTTTTATGATTCTTGGTATTTCTATGGTATCATAACCAATTAAACATGGTATATCACTTGACGCATTATCTTGCCTGAGTAATTAACCTGGGCCCAGGCAGAGACCATCCCTTGGATCTGTGCAGGCCTTCTTCCCAGGGAGTCCCCACGAGTCCCCTTGACCTTCGCCCGGGAGCACCAGCACACAGAATACACAGAAACGTTTGTAGAGAGACGCGGGCCTTACAGAGGTATTTCAGACCACCTAGTCTAAGCAAACCTGGCCCGTCTTTTAAAAATACAGATTCCAGGGCCTTCCTCAGAATTATCAGCTCCAAAACTACCAGGACCATTGTAACCGGCCTTTGAATTGTGAGCATTGGCCATGGCCAGCAGTCGCTGGCCAGGTCAAGCATGTGTGCGTCATTGAGAACGCAGGCCCACCAGGCAAGTGATTGGCCAAGGGTACCACTGTGCCCTGAGAGTCAGGCGGGGGTGGGGACTTCCTGCTGCAGACCTTTTCTTCTGGGCTTCTGTCACAGCTTTTCCTGGCTGGCGACCTCTGCATTCTAGAAAGTCACAGGTGACCAAGAAAGAAAGGGGAAATGTGTCATCCTGTGATTTGTGGCTTTTCACCCTTACGTCCCTAACATTACTGTAGGAAAATCTACATTTCTCAGGAAGAAGAGTGAACTTTCTAGGACCTGCAGTTGTTTGCAATGGCTGTAGCTTTTGAGGAGCCGTTGGGAGCAGAACACACAAACTCGTGGGTTCCCGGGGTGGTTGAGTGCCCCCCTCAGCTCAGGTGACATGGTGCTGGCCCTGGTTGCCTGCCACTGTGTGGCTTTGCCTGCCGGGCAGGTCCTTTAGCAGATCTCCATCTGTGCCCGCGAACCTTAGCCGGCAGGTGAGATGGGAGGGCCTCTGTCTGTGAGAGCTGTTGGTGCCCTTGGCTTCTCCTAGATGGCTTCTCCTAGATGGCTTCTCCTAGATGGCTTCTCCTAGATGTGGTTTCTAGAACAGTCTCGGAGGTGTGCCCTCAGAGCTGTCAGACTGCGGCCCAGCCGGCATGTGACACAAAGCGCCACTCGAGGCCAGGAGTGCGATGGTTTTGACCCTGAGCCAGGAAGGCCAGGATCTGAGACCGGGATGCAGAAGCTTACTGTTGACACTGATGCGGGAGCGGAGCGTCTCGGTGCACTTCTGTTTTCACCCCTTGCTCTCCCCCAGGGTTTCCTGTAGTTCCCATCGCCCTGTTCCTGTTGTGGTCCAGGAGGGGGACATGAACCTGGGAAGCCAAACCAGTGCTGTCGCTGCCTCGCTGCTGGTAGCACGCAGGCCGCAGAGCGAGCTAGGTACTCGTGGAAGTCCTGCAGCTGTAGGGAGGTCCTGCCAGGAACCCCGCACAACAGCAGGCTGCGCTCTGGAGCTTGGTACTGCAGTGTGCTAAAGGCCCTGAGAAGTCCCTCATTAACCACTAACCTGTGACTGAGACTCGCCTCTGCCTCTCAGGAAGGGTTTCATTGCCCAGACTCCTCCCTCCCCGCTCAGCCCAGGTCATGAACAAAGAGGAGGCGGCTCTAGAGAATAGAGTCAGTCTGGGGACAGCGTGCTGGAAGTTCTGAGTGGTTTGGACAGCAGATGGCTTTGACCTTGGGGAGGGGAGAGCCACTAGGGTCAGCCTAAGCCAGCTGTTAAGTTTTTGATGCTAGGGTAAGGTGACATGCTGGCCCTGGCTTTCTTGTGCCCCATGCTTACATACCATGTCCTGTACTTTGCATCTGTGCCGTCCCTCTTGATGTGGTTGATGTCGTTTGTCATTTTCATGGAGTGGATGATGACGTTACTGATGCCAAGAGCATTCCACAGGTGGAGGACTGACAGGTAAATGTTGTCCTGGGTTGACTACAGAGTTGGCGGCAGCTACCCTGTGCTGGGCTTTTGTGCTCGACAGAAAAGGCTCAGGGCCAGGTTTTTGTCCCCTGTGTTTTTAAGTTGGGGGACAGAGCTTGGAACTATGTGTAAGCAGGTGGCCTTTTAACCTGCAGTGGGGATAGCGTGGTCTCAAACCAATCTTGAGATGAGTGACATGCACAGCTGCCCTTCTGTGGTCACTGTGCAGGCGTCAGGCTGTGTGGAGCTTTGAGAACATCTGGACTTTGTTTTTATCTTGATCTTTCCAAATAATCGTAGTAGGCTCTTATTCAATGGGTCTTGATCTTCCTCATTTTAAACAGTCGGGGTTTTAACTGTGTGAGAGTTGTATTTGGTCCTAACCCTGTTTGCTTAAGACACGTGTTGCGACCACAGAGGACAGTGAAGAGCTGGAGGACACTGGTGTTCACAGTGGTCGCTCCGTTGCTGACAGTGCAGATTGCAGGCGCCCTGTCGCCCCTAGTCCCAGCTAATCGGGAGGCTGACGCAGGAAGTTTGCAGAAGGTACCTAGAGTAGAAGCTCAACTCTTACTTACTGGCCTCAGCCCGCGATGTTCACCTTCTGCCATCTTAGTAAGTCTGCAGGCAGGTCCCCGCGGCCTCCATCAGGAAGAACCTCAGGTGTGTATTTGTATTCTGAGTGCCCTCTACCTCCCCTTAATGGTAAGGCAACCTCAGGAGTCTTAGCAGGGACTCCAGACGCTCTAGGGGTGTTCACTTTGGGGGTGGGAGGCAACCTGCTCTGTTTTTGGTACGTCAGCTGTTTCCAAGCATCTGACCCCTAAGCAAGCAGGGCCTGTCAGTGTGTGCATTAGTACTGGAAGTGAACGTGCCCTCTGCCCTGGTGACCCCCATGGAGCCACCGCCCTCGTTCTTTACCCGGGTCCCCATCATGTCGGCTGGGCTGACCACAGTCCAAGCAGTAGCCCATGGGCTCTTGGACTCAGAGCTTTGGGCCTGGACCTGCAAGGGAAGCTGCAGCCGTGGTCCAGACCTCCTGGTGTCTCTGTGGGTTCTGAGCATCTGCGTCCAGGAAGAACCTCTGGACATAAGGCACTTCCGCCCACATCAGTGGCTCCCAGCCCTGGCCTCTCCAAGCCAGCTGGTTTTAGAGTTCTCGAACTGTTTTGATACTTTTCCATTTTCCATTGCTAAACCATTTTGTAGATGCCTGCCAGGGTTGTTTGTCGTGTCCCCACCTGCAGCCCCTTGATTTGTCTGCACAACAGTAGCCAGGACTTGCCTCGTGAGGCTTCCTCTAACACCTTTCCGTCTCCACGTGGCCTCCAAGTAGGACTGTCCTAAGTCCCAGCTGAGCCAGAGGGCACCCATCTTCCCAAAGACACCTGACTTCCTCCCAAGGTTCTGTCTCTTCTGGAGCTCCTACCTCAGTGGTGTCAGAGGGACCCCACGGCTGGTCACCTTTCTCACCATCAGACGTGTGGCTGGGGTCCTGGTCCATCCCATTCACCTCTAATGACAGCTGAGCACAGTGGTCACACCTGTAATCCCA